CCCCCTGCTTGTGTTTCCTCTCTCGCTGTCTCTCTCTCTCTGTCAAATAAATAAATGAAATCTTTAAAAAATAAATAAATGATTTATTTTCTAAATTATATACAAATAAACATGTACTTTTGTGACAAAAGTTATTAAAAGTATAATATGGTTATATTATGATATTATAATTTGTATTATGTTATATGTGTGGTTTCATGTAATTATATTGCTATAAATAAAGCAAGTAAATTTTAAAGTTCTTTAATTTTGCCTATGATATGTAAAAATTATTTAACATTTTAAAATCATTATCTAATGATTTTTATTTAGGCAAACAAAGACAAGTTGTACAAAAACAGGGAAAAATAAATCACTACATAAAAATATTATGTAGGATTTGGGGCAAATTTCTTTGGAGGACAATTTCCTTTCATTGTGATATGAAAAGCTACCAATTCTTTAATTCTAAAGGTTAGCAGATATGAAGTTCATCCGTTCATCCACTCAGGGGGTACTTTCTGAGTTTTTACAGTGTATAAATACCTATCCCATTGTTTGGAGGATTAAAGTGTGTGTTTCCTTTTTTTTTTTTTTTTAATGTGGGAAGTGTTGAGGATGACAGTGAGAGAGGGAACACAAGCAGGGGGAGTGGGAGAGGGAGAAGCAGGCTTCCCGTGGAGCAGGGAGCCCGATGCGGGGCTCAATCCCAGGAAAAGTGTGTGTTTCTTGTACTTGAGGTGCTTCCAGTCTACTATGAAAGATCAAACACTCATGAATCATCCAGACAACAAAGCCCTAAAAATTAGAACAGGGAATACGGTATTATAGAAAGCAAATGCCAGTGAAGTGAAGGTTATCAAAATTCTACTCACCTTTTAAAGTCCAAAAGGACTTACTCTTGCTGGGCAGTAATTTCTAGAAGTAAGCTATCCCATCTGCTTGGTGAGGACTCTGGTTAACATCTATCACAGAGCAGTCCTTCCCTTATCCCTAACCTTTGTTTCATTCATGGTGGGTCCTGAAGGGACTTCAAAACGAAGCTGATTTTGGGAACACCAGACCATGTTCATCTCCTGAAGAAATGAGGAAGAAGACACGTGGAGTTGTCTAATAACACCGCCCAGATTAATTACTGCTGATGGGGGTGGAAACATGGAAAGAAGGACTGCCATCAGCCTCTTGATGAGTAGCAGCCACCCTCTATCCTGTCCCTCCCAAGCTGAGGTTAAACAACACCCCATTCTTCCAATCCTACCTCTGAGGGGAGGATCATCAATGAGAATAATCACAAAGTATTGAAATCTGCAAGATCATGGTGGGAAAGTGCTGGACTGGGAGCCCAGAGACCTACCTTAGTCCCAACTAGCTATACCTCTAGATTCCCTCTGTTCTTCATCTGTCAAGTGAAGGGGTTGAACTGTTCAATACCCAAAGCCTAAGCTCCCAATACATTAAAAACCACAAGGTTCCTGTGATTATATGTCAGAATTATTCCCCAATCATGAATCATCTGTCAATCTCTGACCCTGTAAATACAAATTCCTCCTCAATGATGGGATTAAAATACTTAATTCTCTTATGGGTAAATTGTGCTCACTGAACGTTTGTGTGCAATACTGTCCGGGAAATCGAGGCAAAGGAAATAGCTCCTAAATCCCTCCTGGGATCAAAATGGAAAACAAGACAGGCTATGACATCAGCTACCATTTCCTCTATGATCAGACTACAAATATCAATATTAAATTATGTGTGCATACTTTTCATTTTTGTCTTTCATGGCACAACCATAGGGAATCCTTTGCGTTTAGCCTTTTAGCAAAGTGATGAAGGAAGAACAGGAAAGATGAACACATATTTTCAACATTTTTGAGCTGCAAGTCATTTTAAAGATTAGACCCAACCCCTTCATCATTCCAATGAGGAAAAAAATAGAGTCCACGCTGCGGCACAGCTCACACCAGTGCTAATTTCCGGAAGTGTGTGAACTCCCTTTGCCGCGCCTAAACGGAGGGTCACTGGGCAATACCACCACCTACAGGCCATAAAAGGAGGGGCACCCAAAAAGGACAAAGGAGCCTAAGCTCTTTTAATGAGTTTCCTCCATTACAGGTGGAGGAGCCAGGCAAGGGGAGGATAGAGTTGACCAGGATGAACATTTTTGAAACAGAGACAGTTCACCCTCCCAGATTGTATCCAGAACCAGTTCCTCACTACCTTCCTGTCTCTCTACAGGTAGGCTGGCAAGCACTACACCTTTCTAAGATAACTCTTATGAGAATCATGTTGCCCTTTAACAGGTCAGTTATCTGCCACCACATCACCTGTCCAGTCAACAGGTGCTGCTTTATACAGCACTCGATGAATAAAATTCAAATGCTAAAAATTGGATCTTTTTACCAAGATACATGATTTTTTCCCTAATCTCTCCCCTCTTTGGTTCCCTGTGAATCCAGGCAAGTTACTCAAAAGCATCTCAGTAAAGAAAATGTGGTAGTTCTATATGAGAACTGTTTATCTAAACTTAGTCAGCCTCAGGGATCTTAGTTACTGAAATCACATAAGAACTCATTCCTTGCCAGCTCATTTTGCCTCACTATTCAGATGGATGAGATGTGCCTTATTGTTACATTCTTCCTACTGCTGGCTACATACTGTTTGTTTTGATGTCTGACCACATTTGATCATATTTTGACATCCATACACTCCAGACCAGAATGCTCTAGATGACACGATTAGAATTCAAAATGCTTAGACTGTTAGAATTGAACAGGACTCTCAGGAGCATTTAATCATATCTTCTCCCTTTACAACTAAAGAAATGGAGTTGCATGAAACAGAGATGTGTCCCTGGTCACATGGCTCGATGGTGGCAGTGCTAAATCTGGAGGCCATGTCTCCAGGCTTCCCGTCCAGGTTCTTTCCACAGCCCCTGCTGCTTTCCAGCATCAGTGCAAGCTTTCTAAACACTCTCAAAGTGTTGGATGGAGGATGCTCCTTGGGAGCAGCCCCTTTCATTCCAGAGCTGCCTCTACAATTCCACTGCATGAATTGTAGATAGAAGAGGTTACCAAAGCCTGAATACGCAGATGAGTTCTCTTTCTTGCCCCAATGTCCTACATTCTGTCAATCAAGAAGGTGGGCAGCAATGCTTTAGTTATCAGTTATTGCAGTAAATTACTGCTCTAACTTATCCAAAATCCACTGTTGCTAAGCAATGTGCAGTCAAGAAGGCACATTCTGGGTTTTGCTTCATATTTTTTAGAGGGGGGGGTAGAGGAGAAGGGAGAGAGAGAGAATCCCAAACAGGCTCCATGCCCAGCGCGGAGCTCAAGGCGGAGCTCCATCTAACAACCTTGAAATCATGATCTGAGCCAAAATCAACAGTTGGACATTTAACTGACTGAGCCACCCAGACACCCAGGCACATTCTGGTTTTGAATTATGTGAGCAATTCAGTCATCTGGTTTGTGTCTAAAAATTAAATATGGCTAGTTGGCACGCAAAATTTGGGGCTGCACTGTTTTGATGATTTTGTGACAGGAAATCTGGTTGCACTAAACCTCTACCTCCTGCCTCCAGTGATGCCCACCCAGGCAGGCACTAATAGTTAAAGACTAACAGAGGAGTAGTGGGGTGCAGGGAAAAGAGAGTGCAACTTGGCATTATAATCTGCATTAGAACCCTGCCTCTGCCCATCACTAGCAGAATGACTGTAAGCAGTGCACTTGGTTTCTCAGCCCCCCTCCTCACCTGTAAAATGTTGAAAGGAGCTGAACTTGTTTTTATATGCTGTATTACTGGGCCAATCTGTATGGATCAGTTAATGCCAGAAATAAGAATACAGTAATAATATGGGGCGCCTGGGTGGCTCAGTTGGTTGGGCGACTGCCTTCCGCTCAGGTCATGATCCCAGGGTCCTGGGATCAAGTCCCGCATCGGGCTCCCTGCAGAGCAGGGAGCCTGCTTCTCCCTCTCCCACTCCCCCTGCTTGTGTTCCCTCTCTCGCTGTGTCTCTCTCTGTCAAATAAATAAATAAAATCTTAAAAAAAAAAAATACAGTAATAATACGGAGTTAAAAACTTTTGGCTGGGTCCCACAAATCTAAATACAAAACCCTACTGCAGAGGTGCCTGCCTGGCTCAGTACAGCATGTGACTCTTGATCTCAGGGTCCTGAGTTCAAGCCCCAGGTAGGGTATAGAGCTTATTTAAATATGTGTATATAATATACAAATATATTTTATATATAATAAAAATATATTTTTATATATAATAAAAATGATATTTTTTGTATGTATGTATCATGTATATAACATGATATATAATAAAAATATATTTTTATATATAATAAAATATATTTGTATATTTAAAATAAAATGGGGATGACAATAACATTTTAGTAAACTGCATTTACTAGTTGTGTAAACACAAGCAAGTTTCATCATCTTCATCTTTTTGTTTTACCTTATGAAAATATTCAAACACGCTCAAAATAGAAAGACTAGAATAATTAAAATGATATATTAATCACCAGTTTAAGCAATTTTCAACATTTTGCTAATACCGTTTCATCTCCCTTCCTCAACACTTTTTCCCCCTAAGATACTTTAAAGTATATTTGGGCAAGTTGTTTTAAAGCTCTCTGTGCTTCAGTTTTCTCACCTAGGAAATGAAGGTTTTAATATCTAATTCATGGCGTAGAACTGTAGCTGTTGTTATTTATGGTGGTATCTACGTGCATTGTCCCCTCTGAGGCATAAAAGCATTTTGCAGCGCAGCACGCGCGGCTCAAGACAGAGCTTCCTCAACAGCCGGGGGGAACCGGAGTCCTGCGTGGCTGAGACTACGACGCCCTCTTCAGGCAGCCCCCTGCAGAAGCCCTCGGGCCGGATGAAGATTGTCCCTCGCAGCCCCCGTCGCCGCGCGCGAGAACGAGGGGCGGGAACAGGAAATGGGATGGGGCCGAGTTCCGGGCGCCGGGCGGCCTCTGAAGAGAGCAGAGCGTGGCAGCTGGAAGCCGGGGAGGTAAAGCCATGTTCCGGATCGAGGGCCTTGCGCCGAAGCTGGACCCGGAGGAGATGAAACGGAAGATGCGCGAGGATGTGATCTCGTCCATACGGAACTTCCTCATCTACGTGGCCCTGCTGCGAGTCAGTGAGTGTCCTTCCAGGCTGCGGCCATGAGACCCGCGGGGAGCTCGCGGACACCGCCCACCCAACTCTGGTTCTCTGGGGGCCTGCGAGCTGAGCTAGCTGAGTGGTCGCGGGAGGGTGGGACATGTGGGTCGAGATCAGCGGGCGCAGGCGCGGCTTAGGGTCTGCGGGTCGGGGTCAGAAGTACACGCGGTGGCCTGGAGTGCGAGGGTGATCATCCCGCCTCGCCCTGCCTTTAAGAGCGTTTTAATTGAAAGAGCCTCGAGGGTTTATTCCCCCTCCCCTCCGCTCCCCTTCCGAGCAGCTCCCTTGTTTTGCCGACAGAAACTTAGAGAGTAGAAAAATGGCTGGCTCAAGGTCACTCAGCGATTCAGTGCATGATCTTGATCTAGAATCCAGAGCTCTTAATATCAAGTTTCCTTCCTTCGGTGCTGATCTCTAAAATACAAAAAGGTTTGCTGCTTTTGCTTATTTGTAAAGAATTGGTGGGGTTTTTTTTGAAGGAAGGAGAAGAAAAGAGTAAGAGTCTATAGGATTAATAATAACACCTGAAGGTTTATTTGAATTTACGTTTGGCAGAAGCTTATTTGCGTTAGCTGTCTTGACAGTAGCGCTTTGAGGGAGGCCGGGCTTAACATTCTGTATATCCCTTTTGCAAATGAGAACTCACCTTTCAAAGGGGGTCTTAACACAAAATATCAGAGTTAAAGACACACTGAATGTTAGAGATGGGTGCAGCTTTGTAGATCACTTCTCTAGTTTTACTGATGTGAATCTCAGAAGTGATTTGTCCCCACCCTCCAATTCTCAGTTCAGTACTCTTTTCATTGCACCTTGCTGTGTATTGCTGACAGGTCTGGGTGGAGAGGCAGGAATGATTAAAATAAATGAAGGCCAAGGATAACCAAGGTTATCCTGTAGAAGGCTCAGATTGGGCCTAGGCCAGAGCTCACTGAAGCCTGGTACCCCATCGCTGACTATGGTATTACCCTGCTTTCCCAGGAGAGGGAGCCCCACTGAACAGAAACACAAATCCTGCTCCTTCAACAGCTTTTTGCAACTCCCAACTTATTTTATCCTCTTACCTTTTTTGTTGACTTAGCTGCCACTAAAATATTTGCTTCTTTTCAGTGACCTTTGTATCTGATGTGAATTGGTTTCCTTAAAAAAACACAGAATACTTTCCACATTACCACTTTTAAAATGGAGATATAATTCACATAGTATACAGTTCACCCATTTAAAGTATATGGTTCAACCTAAGTGTCTATTGATAAATGGACAAAGAAGATGCGTGTATATACAATGGAATATTACTTAGACGTAAAAATCTTGGCCATTTGCAACAACATGGATGGACCTATAGGCTATTAGGCTAAGTGAAATAAGTCAGAGAGAGATGAATACCATATGATTCCACTTATATGTGGAATCTTTAAAAACAAAACAGAAACGGACTGATAAATACAGACAACAGACTGTTGATTGCCAGTGGGGAGTAGAGTAGGGGTAGATGAAATAGGGGAAGGGGCTTAGGGTGCCTGGGTGGCTCAGTCGGTTAAGCGACTGCCTTCAGCTCAGGTCATGATCCCAGGGTCCTGGGATCGAGCCCCGCATCGGGCTCCCTGCTCGGCGGGAAGCCTGCTTCTCCCTCTCCCACTCCCCCTGCTTGTGTTCTCTCTCTCTCTCTGTCAAATAAATAAATAAAATCTTCAATTAAAAAAAAAAAGAAATAGGGGAAGGGGCTTAAAAGGTACAGACTTCCAGTTACAAAAGAAGTAAGTCATAAGGGTGCAATGTACAGCATAGAGAATATAGACAATACTGTAGTAACTTTATATGGTAGCTAGACTTACTGTGGGGATCATTTTATGATATATAAAAATACTGAATCACTATGACCATACACCTGAAACTAGTGGGATACTGTATGTCAATTATACTTTATTTAAGAAAAACTTGGGGCGCCTGGGTGTCTCAGTCATTAAGCGTCTGTCTTTGGCTCAGGTCATGATCCCAGGGTCCTGGGATCGAGCCCCACATCGGGCTCCCTGCTCAGCGGGAAGCCTGCTTCTCCCTCTCCTACTCCCCCTGCTTGTGTTCCCTCTCTCGCTGTGTCTCTCTCTGTCAAATAAATAAATAAAATCTGTAAAAAATAAAGTTAAAAAAAACTTTAAAAAATGAAGGTTATGTAATTTAGTGGTTCTTAACATAGAGTTATGCATTTTAGAACATTTTCTTTACCTCTAAAGTAGACACCATGCCCATTAGCTGTCATTCCCCATTTTACCCCTTCATGTTCCCTTGGCAACCACTAATCTACTTTTTCTTTATGGATTTGCCTATTCTGGACATTTCATATAAATGGAATTATAGAATATATGACCTTTTGTGTCTAGCTTATTTCACTTTCCATAGTGTTTTCAAGGTTCATATTATAGCATGTGTTAGTATTTCCTTTTTATTTTTTTTTTTAAGATTTTATTTATTTATTTGACAGAGAGAGACAGTGAGAGCAGGAACACAAGCAGGGGGAGTGGGAGAGGGAGAAGCAGGCTTCCCACGGAGCAGGGAGCCCGATATGGGGCTCGATGCCAGGATCCTGGGATCATGACCTGAGCCGAAGGCAGACGCTTAACCGACTGAGCCACCCAGGCGCCCCTTTCCTTCCTTTTTATTGCCAGGTAACATTCCATTGTGTGGATATGCCACATTTTGTTTATCCATTCATTCGATGGATGTTACTTACCTTTTTTAATCTGATAAGAATTAGAAATATCTGGACATACTGCCAACTTCGTCAGCTTTCAACAGATCTCAGTATCTTCAGCTTAATGTTGACAATATGTTCTATTACTTTAGTATGGGTATTGAGAAAGAAGATCCTTCTGGCAGCTTTTTTGCTCACAGCCCCTTTTATTTTCTAATTTTTTAAATTGTGGTAAAATACAACAATTTATCTTAACTATTTTTAAGTGTACAGTTTAGCAGTATTAAATACACTCATAATGTTGTACAACCATCACCACCATCCATCTCCAGAACTCTTTATCTTGTAAAACTGAAACTTTCTCTATGATTTTGACATCTCTTAAGGCTCTCATTTAGGGGCGCCTGGGTGGCTCAGTCGGTTAGGCGTCTGCCTTCGGCTCAGGTCATGATCCCGGGGTCTTGGGATTGAGCCCCGCATCGGGCTCCCTGCTCCGCGGGAAGCCTGCTTCTCCCTCTCCCACTCCCCCTGCTTGTGTTCCCTCTCTCGCTGTGTCTCTCTCTTTCAAATAAATAAATAAAATCTTTAAGAAAAAAAAAAAGGCTCTCATTTAATTGGAACCATACAGTATTTGTCTTTTTGTAACTGGCTTATTTCAGTTTGCATAGGGTCCTAAGGTTCATCCATGTCATAGCATATGTCAGAATCTCCTTCCCTTTTAAGGCCGAATAATATTCCATCGTATACCACATTTTGCTTATCCATTCATCCATCTTTGGATCTGGATTGCTTCTACATTTTAGCTACTGTGAATAATGCTGCTATAACATGGATATGCAGGTATCTCTATTTTGTATATTTTGAGGACCCACCATACTGTGATCCATAGCAGGTGTACCATTTTACATTCCCACCAACAGTACACAAGGGTTCCAATTTTTCCACATCCTTCCCAACAGTTTGATAGTAGCTATCCTAATGAGTGTTAGGTGGTATCTCATTATAGTTTCAATTTGCGTTGTCCTAGTGATTAGTAATGTTAAACGTCTTTTCATGTGCTTATTTTGACCACAGCACTTTTACACAGGACAGTAGTAACACTTCGTTTGATCCCTGTGACAATATTTTTGTTTTCTAGCTATTTCTATTCGTACCCTCCTACCAGGCCCTCATAAGAACTGAAATAGGACTACATTATATGTGATTTGGATTACATAAGTGATATATAGCTAATCAGTGGGAGAACCAAAATCTGCGTCTAGCTCTTCTGCTTCCCCAGTGCAGTGTTGTTTTCTCCCACCCTCTGCCTTTTTTCAAATGTTTTATTTTTTTATTATTTATTTGAGAGACAGTGTGGGAGGTGGGCAGAAGGAGAGGGAGAGAGAGAATCCCAAGCAGACTCTGTGCTGAGCAGGGAGCATGATGCAGGGCTTGATCTTATGACCCTGAGATCATGACCTGAGCTCAAGAGTTGGATGCTCTACCAACTGAGCCACCCAGGTGCCCCTCAAATATGTTTTAAAGGGTGAAAAATGCCAATTTGTTTCTCCTAGCATTTTGTTCCTTTGACAATTAAAACACCCAAGGTAAAAAGATGGTCTTTTGAAGGAGGATTGAATTTACTCTTTTTTTTTTTTTTTGGATTGAATTTACTCTTTATGGTCCTAAGAGAACTACCTGGAGAAAAGATTTTATATGGTATAAGAATGAACCTTAGAATAGTCAGAGCTTCATGACACTGGAAAGACAGTCTCTTTTGCTAGGTTATACAGGCAGGGGCTTGGCCATTATTTGGAGTCATTTAAAAAATGTAGTGAACTAAATCTGTAAGATTTTTTCCCCCAGTCTTATAAATTCCATAATGTAATTTGTGGGCTAATAGATCTGAAATTCTGGGTTTGTTTATTTTTCTTTCAGCACCTTTTATCCTAAAGAAATTGGACAGCATATGAAGATGGGCATCACATGTGAATGCATGATATGAGGAACCCAGTTACAATTTCTACTCCTATCTGCAAATGAACAGGCCCAGAAAGATGTAAGAGACTCTTTGATTGAATGGACATAAAAATTCTACTTGTTAAGAACAAGTTTGGCTCTGGTAACTGACCTTAATAGCTAAAATTTAAAACTACTTGGGAAGTAAAGACATCTTGGGTGATAATACACCCATATGCCTGTGATGTTCAGCCTCTGTGAATGTTGATATAATTGTAAGTAATGTCAAACTCCATTTTCTGGCAGGTATTAATTATAAGGGAATTATGTCTACAATAGCACTGTCTTGTTAGTCATTTCTGTTTACCTTTCACTTCGGTCCGGAGTATATATGTTGAAGAGTTCCTTGTGATTAGTTAGTTTTATAGAAGCCAGCACACAGCCACGACGACACTTAAGCACAGGACATTCAGTCTGTATTTTTAAAGTAGCAACTAAGAAAAAAATCAGGATTTTATTTCTCTTAACCTACTTTTTGCTGCAGACCTCTGTAATATTGTAATTATTACAAACTACATTAAATTGAGTTCCTCTTGTTTTGCACTGAAGGATTTGCTGATGCTGATAAAGTGACAGCATTTTATTAAGTAGTCTTTGTGAAAGGCAACATTACTGTTTGATGCTGGGAATCTATAAATGCTATTTGTTTTCTTTTCCTAGGCTTCGTTTTCTGTAAACTTACCACGAAATCAACTAGACTCTTTGCCATATATCTAAATTGATCACAATGTTCAGTTTCACTAGGCATGCTCTTTCATCTTCCAAATAAGTCTTTCCTGGAGCTTTCGGACCTGTCCCAGTCTGGACTGTGGTCTGCTGTGCCTGATACAGGGCTGTATTCTGGGATCTCCCTTCACTGCAATCCTGGGAATTCCTTTTCCTCTTCTCTCATGTTGGAGATCTTTTTTTTTTCCCCCCTGTATCTTGTTTTCTTTATCTCATGACCAGTATGCATTTGAGTCTCTGTATTGAGTACAGTCCCTCTGCCCATAACTGCCTAGCATCCCACAATCCAGAGAACCCTCTATTTTACCCTTTTTAGAAAATAAACTTATAATTTGGGGAAGGAGCTGGGCAATAGAGGCTGCTTAGCTACGTAGGGTTGCAGAGAGCATTCTGAATACTTAAACCTTCAACCAGTCCTTATTTTAGTGTCTTACCCCTTCACTCCTACTTCCAAAGGTAGAGGAAAGCACCAGCTCCTGAACCTTTTAGGGATTCTCTGATGTAAGTTGGGTTGTTTGTTTTGCTTTTCTACTGCTGACTCAGGATTCAATTTTCTCCGGGGCTACCATGCTATTTACTACTTGTCCATCGGCTTTCCAACTTCTAGCTTTTTGCTGCTATTGTCTCCTCTCTTCCCATTCTTTTAGATTTATGCCTTAAAATGAAAATCTTTGCTGTCGTTCAGTGGAATTTCAGGAGGCAGTGGAAGTAGCTGCATGTGCTCCATGTACCATCTTTACCCAAAGAGCATGTATTTTTACCCTGTGATGCTGTGTTTCATGTTGGTAATGTATATGCATTCCTGACCTACGGAGGTGTGGTATACAGCACCACGGTCACGATTACTGGCTCTGAAGACAAGCAGACTTGATTTTGTGTCCTGATTCCAACACGTAGAAGGTGGATGACTTTTAGCAACTGAACCTCTATATCTCATTTTTTCACCTGTAAAATTAGCGTAGTGGGAGCATCTGTCTGCTTCAAAGTGTGTAAGGATAAAGTAAGAGAATGCAAGTGGAGCCACGAGCACAGTGTCTGACATTTGGTAAATGCTATTTATTGTTAATGGTTGGTGTTTGGTATAAGGTGATTAGAAGTGATTTGTACTAGCAGCCCCTGCATTAGTAGGTTTCATTCTTATTTTCAGATATTGTGAGATAGCATGTTTATATTCTAATTGTATACAAACTTCAACATTAGCAAACATTTAAATTCACTGTCTAATAACTGTTAATTTTACAGATGAGTTTGAGACTCTGGAAGATCCGGTAGCTAATAAATAGTAGCTGTCCAAGGTTTAGGGGCTTTTAACGTTTATTTATTGTATCCTATCCTTAAGTGCTTTCCTTGGGATGTATGGTTGTCACCCTGGATTCCAGCATATGTTCAGGCTAGAATAAGGGAAAATGTGATGGTGCAGTTTTTATTGCTGACTTTTTAAATTTCAGGCCATAAACTCCGGTGGGGGGGGGTGTCTAATGCTTGTAATAAACAGTTTGGACACAGTACATCAGAAAACATTTGGCCACGTGTATATATTTGGTTTGAATGTGTAATGTGAAATAGTAAAGAACCATAGCAGACTTGAGTTTTATAAACTTAAAATGGAGGGGCGCCTGGGTGGCTCAGTCGTTAAGCGTCTGCCTTCGGCTCAGGTCGTGATCCCAGGGTCCTGGGATCGAGCCCCGCATTGGGCTCCCTGCTCAGCAGGAAGCCTGCTTCTCCCTCTCCCTCTCCCACCCCCCCGCTTGTGTTCCCTCTCTGTGTCTCTCTTTGTCAAATAAATAAATAAAATCTTTAAAAAAAAAACTTAAAATGGATCATAGAAAGAAATGTGGATAATTGAGAAAATGTTGATCCACAAACAGGTTTTGTAGAGGGATACGATCTTAGAATTTTGCTCCTCAATTAGGGTAGTGTTCTTCCTGCTACTGCTGAGTTTCGTTTTTAAATTGCTTAATCATTGCTCTTTGAAGTTCTTCTGAGGAGTAAGTTAGCATTTCAGTTACAGTGTGTTCAGTAGTTTACAGGTGGGTAAACTTGGGCCTAGATTTGGAAGGAAAAACGAGTGTAGGAATGTGAACTTTTAGGGACGCTTGGGTGGCTCAGTCAGTTGGGTGTCTGCCTTCAGCTCAGGTCATGATCCCAGGGTCCTGGGATCGAGCCCTGCATCAGGCTCCTTGGTTGGCAGGGAGCCTGCTTCTCCCTCTACCTGCTCTGCCTGCCGCTCCCTCTGCTTGTGCTCTCTCTCCCTGACAAATAAATAAATAAAATCTTAAAAAAAAAAAAAAAAAGGAAAGTGAACTTTCCCCCCCTCCTTTGCTTGACTAAGCATATCTCTTTACCTATAAGATCAGGCATCAGAGAGTGTTGGAGATAAGACAGAAAGGAAATCAGCTAGACCTTTTAACCTTTTGTTAAAGGTCAAATGGTAAATATTTTAGACATTGTGAGCTCTGTGCTCTGTCAGCTCTTCTTGCAGTGTGAAGGCAGCCATAGACAGTATGTAAACCAGTGCAGCTTTGCGCTGTTAGCAGCCAAACTCACAGCTGCTGGGGGAATGAGGACCTTGGTCCTAAAGTTGAGATCTGGGTCGTTCACTGCAACATCCACCATAGTCCTCTTGAATCCTCACCCCTCCCCATTTACCAAGCCATTTGTCTGCCATCTTTCATAGTTAAATGCCTCAATAAAATCGTTTATTTTCATTTCCTTTCTCTGGTGATCTCTTGAACCCACTCCAGTTAGGTTCACATCCCCAGTGATCCTCTGAAACTGCTCTTGTCAAGGTTAACACTGACCTGTCCCACCCCATCTGCAGCACTCAACACACTTTCATTATTGTAACCACCTTGCAGACCTTCCAGAACACTAGTTTCCTAATTTTCCTTCTCTCCACCCTTTCTATTCCACTTATCCTCTCTTCTTGAGATTCTTTTATAGGTCTTCTTTATTTGTAACCTGAAACTTGCAGTCCACTAGACTTCAGTCCTCAGACCTTTTTTTTTTAGTTACTGCATCTCCTGCTTAAAATTCTCCAGTGGCTTCCTGTCTTGCTCAGAGTAAAAGCCACAGTCCTTCTGGTTGCCCACAAGGTTCTATACAGTCTGGTCCTCATTACATCTGATCTCGTCTTTTATGACTCTTCCCTCCTTCACTGCATTCCAGCTACACTGGCCTCCTTGCTTCCTCAAACAAACTAGACATGCTGCCTCAGGGCCTTTGCACTGTCTGTTTCCTCTGGAATGCTCTTCCCTTAGATTTTCAAGTGTCTCACTCCCTCTCCTTCAGGTCTCTGCTTAATGGCAGTTTTTTTTCAGTGAGAACTTTCCCAGCTCCTTTATAAATTATAGGATGTTTCAACTTGTGAAAATCCACCAAGTTGTATACTTAAGATATGTGACTTTTTTCCATAGTTACATTATATTTCAAAAACTTTTTAGGGGTGCCTGGGTGGCTCAGTCGTTAAGCGTCTGCCTTTGGCTCAGGTCATGATCCCAGGGTCCTGGGATCAAGCCCTGCATCAGGCTCCCTGCTCGGCGGGAAGCCTGCTTCTCCCTCTCCCACTCCCCCTGCTTGTGTTCCCTCTTTCGCTGTGTCTCTCTCTGTCAAATAAATAAATAAAATCTTTAAAAAAAAAAAAACTTTTTAAAAATTATAACCTCTCCAGCACTCCATAACCCCCCCTTTTTTTAATGGCACTTAATATATTTTTCCTTTTTTATTTGTTAATTATCCGTCTCCTTTTAGCATATGCTTGGTGGGGATAGGGATTTCATCTATTATGTTCACTGTAGTATCTTAGTACCTAGAAGACTGCCTGGTACCTCATAGGCACTCAGTGTTCATTAAATAATAGAATTAGAGTGGAGAAGTTTTTAACTATTATGGGAAGTGTAATAGCAAGCTAACGAGAAAAAGCTAAGCTTGTCAGATGAGATTAGTACCCCAGTTAAGATATGGGATTATTGGGGCGCCTGGGTGGCTCAGTCAGTTAAGCAGCTGCCTTCGGCTCAGGTCATGATCCCAGGGTCCTGGGATCGAGCCCCACGTTGGGCTCCCTGCTCAGTGGAGAGCCTACTTCTCCCTCTCCGTCTGCCTGCCTCTGCCTACTTGTGCTCTCTTTCTCTGTCAAATAAATAAATAAAATCTTTAAAAAAAGGGGGGGAGATTAGGAATTTGGGCTTTTTCTCTAGCATTGCTCTGTTGTCCAAAGGCAAGCTCAGAGAAGGTGGAGAGGTGGGTTCATCCAGGGCTGGGGCTTGCCACATGGCTGAGGTAAAATGACAGGGTCAGGGAGGGCTTGAAATAATGCATGAGGCATCTAAGCTGGATCAGGAGGAAAAGGCAGGAAAGAGCTGATGGACAGAAGAAAATAGAGGGGTCAGTGCTGCTGAGGTCAACTGCAAGAGTGGGGGCAGCAGAGCAGTAGCCCTGAAGACCTCTGTATGCCCCAAATATTTTGCCTCCACTTCCCATGTAGATAAAGGTCCTGTTCTGCAAAATATAGTCCATTCATTTTGTTTGTTTTCTGAAGAGAAGTTACCACCAATGTGTGGCCTTTCGGGCTGTTAGCACAAGAGATGTTCTATTAGAGTTTGTTGGTTTCACAGCTAAGTATGTATGGCGTGGTCTGACAAGGACCACATCTGACCTACTACCACAACTTACTCTCCTCCAATTTATATGTTCATTTAGGAGGAAAGAAAATCGCTAAGTGCAGATATGTTCATGATACCAGGAGACTGAAGACTAATTTTTGTGGGACATTGCAGAAACATCATGGAGACTACTGCTGCATGTGATACACCAATGGGAGTTTATAAGATGCTTTTCTTCCCAAAATTCAAATTGTATTGCCTCTGATTATTTGAGCTGATGGGAGAGAAGCAATACATAGATAATTTAAAATAATAAAAATGTTGCAAAAAAACAGTTTTAAGAAATGTGGTAGATAAGAATTAGAACAATGAAATGTAGGAAATGATCAAATGAATTGCTCATCTTAATATTAGTAAAATTCAGCTTTAATATAACTTCAGTGTACTTCTGAGTAAAATTTAATAGGCTTACTATTGCATCTTTACATCAACTAAAATTTTATACTCTGTTTTCATAATAACCATTGTTTTCATTGGTCTCAAGCAAATGACAAAGAATCTTTACTGAATGTGAAGGTAAAAGTACAAATAAGATCTTAAGCCTACAAAATCCAAAAAAATTATTAATAAAATATTGCCACTAGCTTAGTGAAACAATGATTGCTATTAAAGTGTTGAGGGGAAAGGCATTGAGTTTAACATCTTATTTTTCCTCTTTAAGCTAACCTTCACTTCTGTTAGCAAGCACTCTACTAAAGTTTGTGCTAGATAACACAGATCAAAATATCATTTATTTCCTTCTTCCTGATTCATGTCTAAAAAGATGGTAAAGCAGCTTTTTTTTTTTAAAGATTGATTTATTTATTTGACAGAGACACAGCGAGAGAGGGAACACAAGCAGGGGGAGCGGGAGAGAGAGAAGCAGGCTTCCTGCAGAGCAGGGAACCTGATGCGGGGCTCAATCCCAGGATGCTGGGATCATGACCTGAGCTGAAGGCAGACGCTTAACGACTGAGCCACCCAGGCGCCCCGATAGCATATTTTTAATACTTGTGTGTTGGGACTCTAAGATAAATGTGTCTTCATGTTTATGAGGAACCGGTGTTCTGTTCACATACAATTTTAAGAGGAAATGGGTGCTGGATATCAGATACCTAGGAATCAAAGAATGCATACTATTAACGTTTGGAAGGATTTTCATACACAGGTACCTCTTGGTGGGGGGCTCCCTGCCACAGGAGAGGTTCAAGTATAATAGGGGAAAGAACACTGGTAATGAGTATGTTCTGTAAGGCAGTGCCAGGCATCATGTACAGAGGTGCTTTCCAAAACAAGCTCCATACCAAATCACATGGGAAGCTTTTAAACAAAAAATCTACTGAATTAGAATTGTTGTGGATGGAGCCCAGGAATCTATTTTTTAAAAGCATTCAGGTGATTTCATTGGTCCAAGATCTGCTTTGGGTAACCAGTAAATGAGTTTACCTTAAGGTCCCTTCCAGTTCTGAAATTCTGTACTGATTTAGGAATAAGAGTCAAAACTGAAAACGAAAGCAATTTTAGGTTGCATTTGTAAAATGACAACTTAAGATCTCCAAATCTGACAGAAACTTCAAGAGTTGCCAACTTGGGGCACCTGGGTGGCTCAGTCATTAAGCGTCTGCCTTCGGCTCAGGTCATGATCCCAGGGTTCTGGGATTGAGCCCCGCATTGGGCTCCCTGCTCTGCGGGAAGCCTCCTTCTCCACCGCCTCCTCCCTCTCCCACTCCCCCTGCTTGTGTTCCCTCTCTCGCTATGTCTCTGTCAAATAAATAAAATCTTAAAAAAAAAAAGAGTTGCCAACTTGCCAGAGTTGAGTTTGGTAGAGTACTGGAAGTGACTGGAAAGCCTGCTACGAGAGAAATGATTGAAAGAATTAGGGGTATTTAGCCTTGAGAAGACTTAATTAACAGTGGGAGTCTGAGCGCTGTTCTTAAAAACTAAAAGTGTATTGTCAAAGAATTGTCCAGGCAGACAGATTAGGATAAAGGTTTGGAAGCTAAGAAAGATTCTCTTGAACTCACTCACAGCTACTGTGACCAAGGTGGGCTGGGTCACAGACTGGACTCTCTATTGGAAACGAATAAGAATCTGAACATGGGTACTCTATAGCAGGAATTGCCACTGTGGGGAAACAAGGTTTCTATCTTCTATCATTGTCTTTTTCTCTCTTCCTGAAAGACTACTTGAATACAAGTGCTATCTCACACTTTTTTCTGTCCCACATAGAATCTTTACAAAGAAGGGGCTGAATAAATGACTGCTGAATTGGAGGTGGAAAAATTCTTGACTTTCTGGACAATACCTGTTGTATAGGCCTCAGAAAAGTAATTCCCATTCTGTTTGGTGGAGGTGTGCACAGTCACAGATATTCAGTGACTACAGAGGAGCAGGCACTGGTAGCTGAGTGATACAGAAGGGAATTCAGGCATGGTACATATCCTTAAGAGGCTTAAAATCTAGCAGGGGAGGCATTGCCTAATTTCATCAATAATTACATATTATATAAACTGCTGTGGGGTTAAGTGCAGGAAGCTGTGAGAACTTGAAATAGGGGAGCCCTGACCTGTTGGGCTGGGGAGGAAGCAGGGAGGGCTCCCTGAGGAAGTGATACATCAAGTAAAATTGGATGAATAGCAATTGGCCAGGTAAAAGAATGGGGAGACTTCAAAAAAGTGTTAAAGCATATCTGTTTAAGGAAGAAAGAAGGCCAGCGTGACCCAAGTGTGTTGCACACAGAAGAGCAAGAGAACCTTCAGTCCTTTTCAGAAACTCCTCTTTATTTTATTCTCACTTTAGTCTTAAGAAAGAGATCACATCCTGACATCTGCTGGCTAATGTATATACTGCAGTTGCAAATTACACAAGAACAACCATCATTAACCTATTGAAGTCTACAGTAAGAAATTAAAATAAAGCACCAGGTCTTTTCCCTGCCCTGCATTATGGACATCACACAGGAGACGGAACAGTTGTGACTTACAGGCTACCTGTGTGAACTCAGTGTTACCGATACACATAGGTGGTGCCACTTGCCTACTTTTGTACAAGTTCACAAACACATAGGAATCATGTATATAAAAGTTGAATAGGGCGCCTGGGTGGCTCAGTTGGTTAAGCAACTGCCTTCGGCTCAGGTCATGATCCTGGAGTCCCGGGATCGAGTCCCGCATCGGGCTCCCTGCTCAGCGAGGAGCCTGCTTCTCCCTCTGACCCTCCCCCCTCTCATGTGCTCTCTCTCATTCTCGCTCTCTCAAATAAATAAATAAATCTTTAAAAAAAAAAAAGTTGAATAGACTTGTTACTGAGATGTAAAACATTACAAAATCACTTTGTCTTTTAAACACAGTATCTGATGAAATGTTTTATGAAACATTCTCAAACTTCACAAATAAAACACAGCTGGCTTTAATGCAGTAAGCATTCTAAGGCTAAAGATGTGCTTTAAGCATGTCTGATAGTTTTCATCTTTTCCTCAGCCACATTAGTAATAGTATCTTCATTTTCCACTTACGTCTATAAAGGACAAAAATGCAAAAAAATAATATTACATAAGCAGCTGTACTGACAATGAGACCAAACTTGCACTGGCAGCTGCCTTGCCATGCAGTCATTTGAAATGTTCATTAATCAGCTGACATTAGAAGGATGAACTTGGTGAACAAAGGGTGATTTAGAGACATCAATATGTAACATAAAAAAATGGGTTGTTGAAGAGTAAAGATTCATGTGTTAGGGAGGAGCAGCAGCATCAGTAGTTAAAAGTCCTAGGTTATAGCTTCAGTTCTGCTCTTAATTATGTGACTATATGAGTCAGATTTTTTTTTACTTGAAACACCCAAATCCAGTTTGGGTAGATTTACAGAGAAAAATAACTCACTGAAAGGATTATAGATCATTTAGTATCCCAGGAGGCCTGGAGAATCAGGCTCAGAGACTAGGCATCTGGAACATCACCCTTTGTTACTTGGTCACTCCATACAACCTGGTGCAGTGAAGATACCATCTCTGCTGAGGATTAGATGCCACCACTTAACAAAGCCACAGGCTCAGAACCCTGCACTCTCAGGACAGCCAGTGTTGCTCTAAGAACTTCATCTTGCTGTGTTTGCCATGGTAACCACAGAGAATTATGCCAGGTCTGCGCTTTGCTATCTCTGGCTCCCAATTCATAGTCCAGAGAATACTTAATTTGTAGTGTCAGGGTCATGTGGAAAAGCAGAGAAAATATCTGGGTCTCAGCTTTTATAGTGAAAGGCATGCTCTGATTCCCACCCAACAAGCTCGAAGATGGGGAATTCCCAAATGTAGGAAGGGAGTTCAGGTAACTGGGCCAAAAACGAGGGCATGTGTATTATGTCAACTCTGGACGAATCACAGCCTTCTCTGTAAAGTAAGGTAAGTAAAGTTCACATGGCTGAGGAGATGGTGTGTTTACTTAATCGTTTTACAATAAATACCAACTATGCCAGGCTGCAAAGGTGAGCAAGTCCTCTCTAGTCTAATGGAGGAGAGAAGTCAGTAGACCAGCAAGTGGTAGGACAGAGGCATACACGAAAGAGGTGCAAGCAGAAAGGAGAGGCCAACTGCAGTTTACAAATGATGTTCTTTTATTTAAGTCAATTTAAGATCACATTTTTCATGGTACAAGTGAGACTTGCGCCATCAATGGGAAAGAGACAGCATGCTCTTGTAGAGAGCTGCTGTTGGACTCTTTTGAAGGACTTAACTGTTCTATAGAAACAAAACAATGTTGGCTGGCACAAATCCAGAAAGTCGGGCTTTTGATTGCTTACTGACATATATCTAGACTGCTGGTTTCATACAATGGGACACTTTTCAAAGGATTAAACATGCCATAGCTTTGCCAGTCATCAGTAAGATAAATCATCCAGCTCATTGTAGTGTGAACCCCCCCTATTCTGATCTGACCTAAGTCAGAGTGGTCTTTCTACTATATCTGGCTACTGTGTGTACAGCTTTGTGTCTTTGCTCAAAAGAAATTGTTGGCTTTAGGCTTAGGGTGTTTTTTTGTTTTGTTTCAATTTATAAAGGAAAGCAGCTGCGTGGTAACTTGGACCTCATCCAGAATCTGTAATACCAAATTCATCATGTAATAACAGATACAATAACAATTACAGAATACGTTCTATAGAACCAAGACAGAGGTCAATGGGACCACAAGAGTCAGCCATTACAGACCTCGATCCAGTGTAAAAATTTTGTTTTCACAGCATTCTCAAGTTAGTGTTCTATAGCTGACATTCTCTTCTAAAATCCAAGGGTCTATGGGGCGCCTGGGTGGCTCAGTCCATTAAGCAGTTGACTCTTGGTATCAGCTCAGGTCTTGATCTCAGGGTCATCAGTTCAAGCCCTGCTTCAAAAATTAATCAATTAAAATCCAACTGCCTTTTTGATCACTTCATTTGGGTGACCCAGGTATCTTAAAATTTAACAAGTCCAAAATTGATGATCTCCCACCTCCAAATATGTTCCCTTTACAATAGTTAACCATTTCAATAAATAGCACCTCCATGGGCTCCATCAGTGAACTAAGCTAGACTAGGAATCCCCCTAATGACTCATATCAAACCAGTTTGCCTCTACCTCAAAAAAAGTATCTCAAATCCAATTCTCTTTGTCTTCACTACCAATACCCCAGTCCAAGTCTTAACCAATCTCCCTGCTTCCACTCTTTTTTTTTTTTTTTTTAAGATTTTATTTATTTGACAGAGGGAGACACAGCAAGAGAGGGAACACAAGGAGGGGGAGTCGGAGAGGGAGAAGCAGGCTTCCCGCTGTGCGGGGAGCCTGATGCGGGGCTCGATCCCAGGACCCTGGGACCGGGACCTGAGCCGAAGGCAGACACTTAAGAACTGAGACACCCAGGCGCCCCCCACTCTTACTTTTTTGTCTATTATCCACACAGTAGCTGGCATAGTTTTTACAAAAGGTATCAAACCACCCTCCACCACTTCAATGACTTCCTTTTACATAAAATTTAAAAATCCTTATCATTGCCTACTAAGTGCTGCATGATCTGGCACCTACCTACCTCTCTAACCTCACTTACACTGTTCTCTCTTAACACAATAAGCTTCAGACAAACTGGACATCTTCAATTTACCCAAAGAGCAATCTTCTCTCCTCTGCCCTGCCTTGCCTCACCCATCCCACCCAAAAGCCTTCACTCAGGCTTTCCCTGCCTCTCTTCTATCTGGCTCACTCCTTACCTTCCTCTGAGAAATCTTTCCTGACCACCCTCACCTTGCCCCATAATTTAAAATCGGGGTTCCTTCCTATGATTTTAAATACATACTTATTTAAATGATATGTGATTAATGACTACTCTACCCACTCAAGAATTAACTTTAGGACAGGAACCACAGAAGTTTTGTTCATTCCTGTGCCTATAACACCGGCAGCAACAGCTAACACCTATGCAACATTTACTGTGTGCCAGGCGTTGTGTTAAACACTATACGTATAATAATTTAATATATACACCCAATATATCGCCTGGCCCATAGCCAGTGGTCAGTTTGCTGAGGGTGTTCCCACCTGCACACCCACAAGTTGGTCACCACCTCCTGGAGCATCCCATTACCCTGACAGATAACTCCGGTGATTGGAAGAATCTTCCTGGTATTGACCCCAGCATACCTCCCTGCAATTTCCGCCCACTGATTCTATTTCTGCCCTTCTGGGGCCACGCACGAGAAGCCGTAATCGTCCTTCCACCGGCTCGACTTGGCAGCATCCGAAGCGTCTCCCTGGCGTCGCCCTCTCGCTCCCCTCCCAGCAGAGACTCCGGGCTCCTTTTCCTCTGCGGTGGTCTGGGAGCGTCACCCCGGCCGCCGGCCCGGCTCCCGGCATCCCCCGCCTCGCGCGTCACGTGACGGCGCCCGCCCGCAGGAGCCCGCAACTGTCCGCCCCCGGGCGGGGCTCGCCGCGCCTCCGCCCGCCCCCTGGCCGCGCTGCAGTCCTCGCGCCTCCGCTCGGCTCGGCTCCGCTCGGCTGCGCCTCGGCTCCGGCTCCCGCGGCCCGCGCTGCTGTGGGCGACGTCCCGGAAAGCCCCCGGAGAGGTAAGAGGCGGCCGGCTCGCGGAGGCTGAGGGCGAAGTTATTCCGCTCGCGTCCCCGGGATGCCCGGGGCCCCGAGGAGGGGGCGGCCCGGGCGCCTGGAGGCTGCCTCTCGGGGACCTGGGGCGCTTCCCGAGGTGACCCGCAGAGCAGGCGCCTCTCGGTCCTGGCGGAGGCTGAGCACCTGGCCCTGGCGGGACCGGGACGGGGTGCCCTCAGGCCGCCCGCGGCCCGGCGCCCCCGCACTCTGCTGGCACCTGGAGGCTCTGCCGCGCGGGAGGAGAGCTGTGCCTCGTTTTCCCAGCCGGTAACACGACCCGGCGGCGAAAGTGGATCTCCGCGGTTGCCTTCAGCCTTGAGGTTTTCCGAGTGTGTAATTGAAGTCGAAGAGGAAGAAGCAGATTCCTGGGGTGAGAAGAGCCCCCACCCAGGGGCGTCAGGGGCTGGGCACCTACTATCAAGTGTCCTCTGTCTTCTGTGCAAAGCGCAAGTCTCTCAGTCCGTTTCTCCCTCTTTAAAGTAAAGGTGGTAACACCTGCCCTGCCTCGCTCTTAGGACTACCGTGGAGAACAGGTGGGAAAGCCATTTGAAGAGCCGGAACTCTGGAGTCAGACCTGGGTTCAAGTCCTAGTTCTGCCACTTACCAGCTGTGTGATCTTGAGCCAGACAAAACCCTCATCAGTTCAAAGAAGATAATAATAGTACTTAGCTCATGAGGTTGCTGTGCGGGCTTACCTGTGCAAAGGGCTTAACACAGTTTCCGGCACCGAAGTGTTCAATTATTAATATAAATACTGTTCAGTTAATTTAGTAAACTAAAGAGTGCTTCACATGAGGGGTGTTTAGAATAATCACACTTCAGTTTGTATATATTTAGTCCTAAAAGAGTACTGTTTTGGTTCCCTAAGAGGCCAAGTGGGATCCTTTCCCCTTTTCTCTTTCTGGGCCCCCTTTGCCTTCTCATTTACAACTGGCATGTGAACCTGTTGTTCCTACCAAATGAGTCAGGCAGGATGGAACATTCATGTACTGGAGCAGATGGGTATCAGATTCCCTTTGAGGGGAAAGAAAAGTGCCAGGCATGTGCTGCCACCAAAAAAAGCACAGTACAGTGATTGACTGTTAGAGTAGGAAGATGCCTGGGAAACTGTCTAATCCAGCTGTCTCCTTTTGCACATGGAGAAACTGGACCCAGAACGAGGACAGGACTTTCATTCTCAGTACCCGACAGAATGTTGGCACTGGGTGGTAGAAAGAACACATACTGTTAACCAGACCCTGTGTTTTCCCTGAGTTTTAAGTTAATTCATTTACTCAACAAGGATTTGTGGAGACCTACTGTGTGCCTGTACACCTACTAGGAGCTAGGGGAGAAATCTATCTCCCTCTGCCGGTTCTCAGTACATTTTATAATGACAATAAGTTCTGTCTCCCAGCAAGCTTTCCTCTTAGCAGCTGGCCCCAAGGGACAGAAGCACACAGGTCTGAATTATTTCATGGTAAGTCACAGTGGTCCCTGAGCCCTCGTTGAAGCCTCTAGAAACTGAAGAAAATGCTGCTTTGTCAGGGCTTTTAGGAAAGGATTTCCTTCTGGTCTGGAGCACTTGGAGTTCTTTGTCTTTCTGGTTTCAGGCTTCTTATTGTTTTTAGATTTCTGAAAAGAGCCACCCTCGCCACAGTGCCTTCATTTTGGTTTCCATGGTTATCAGATGAATTGTTTTTATGATAGCACGAGTAGCTGTTAAGTAATACATGGTCAAGCAGTCCCCAGTTCACTGTGGGTTTCTGTTCCTGGTGGTGGTCCTCTGGTTTTGTTTTTTTTTTTTCAGTGCAGTGCATTCATACTATTCCTTCCTCCCTTTTTCCTCCTTCATTCTTTCCTTTAACAAACATGTATTGGTGCCAGGGCCAAGAGGAGTGGGAATAAGTAGAAACAGAGATAAAAATAAAGATAGACCCTGGTTTGGGGAACTCGGAATCTTTGGGGGGATAGTCTGAGGGTATTACCACATGCAAGGGCAGATCTGGGCCTCTGATAAAGGTGTAGATTAGGAGCCAGGGAGAGCTCTCAGAGGTGGGAGGGAGGGTCCTGGGCAACCAAGAAGACATCACATAGTAGGGGTGCCTGGGTGGCTCAGTCAGTTAATGTCTGATTCTTGATTTCCCCTCAGGTCTTGATCTCACGATCATAAGTTCAAACCCCACATTGGGCTCTGTGCTGGGCATGGAGAATACTTTTAAAAAAGAGAGAGAGAAGATATCACATATTAAGATGCTCTTCAAGGAAGATGTAAAAGAAACAAGTTCCTTTTACATGTCTCAGTCACATAATAGTAATAGATGGTACAAGAAACTTGTTTCAGTTTGCCTTAATGAATGAACCTTCTCTTAAGTCACCTATCATGGGCTTTGTTTGAAATGCCTGCTAATTTCTCTTATTACCCTCATTCTGTTAGTTTAGTGATGTATTACTTTCCTACTCATACATATAGTATTGTGTGTATAAAGGTAGATAATAGAGACATTTGATTAAGATTTTGTCTATTTCAGATATTTAACCTGTGTGTCTCATTTCACCAGTTGGGTTCTAATGCAGTCAAAAATTTCTTTACTTTTCCAAGTAATCTCCCAAGTCCTTTAATGCCCTCATTGGTGAGAATTCTGATGTCTCCCACTTCCAAGCTCCCTGGGGGCTTAAACAATCCAAAGAAGTCAGTCTTATTTCCACTCTCCAGAGGAAAAAGAACTCCAGAGTCTGAGCAGTCCACCCACATTGTTATTTCTGACACAGCTATATGGTATCACTATTGAAGAGCTGTCCTGCATGCTCCAAGGATGTGTGGTCACTGCTGCTCAACGCCCTTATTGGACCAGGTTCCTGCCAGCTTGATCCCATGCTTGGATTCCAAGGTTAGAGCTTTTTTAGTTTGTGCTCACATGCTTTGCCATTTTCCCCTAAAGCATTGCACTCTGGGCAGTGTGTTGAGCGTGTCACCAGGCTGGTTTCCCCCAGTCCTCTAGTGAATTCTCTTTGGGGGTATACAGGGCCCTTTTGTGCTAGCAGCCTTGGTCAGGGTCACCACAGACCACTCAGGAGATTACCCTATTTTCAAATCTTTTGTCAGGGTTTGGAGGCTCAGTGCATTCCTAACCTTAACCGAAGGTATTTTGGCAAATTGGTTCTACTTCCTCTCAAGGATTCTGCCTACCAAGAATTCTCAAATGGCATATAGCTACCCTACGACTTTGGGTGCCTACTCGACTTTTCATGTAGAAGAGGGGTCCTCTGGTCACTCTTGGCAAAGCACATATCTGTTCCCAGGAGACTGTTTCTCCACCTGTAATCCCAAGAAAAGTAGGCATTGTTGCAAATTTAAATGGCGTGTACTCTGTTAAGGATTTAGGGGCAAAGTTTTAATTTAAAAATGCAGTTCCCTCAACTTTTCTAAGAATCAGACAGTAATCGGTATGTTTATTTCGATGTCTTTATTTACTTGACTTTATTAGAGCGTGCAAAAGCTCGAGAACGCGCCCCCTCACAAGTGAGGAGAGGGGCAGAGGGAGAAGTAGACTGAGCAGGGAAGCCCGACACAGGGCTGATCCTAGGACCCCAGAATCATGACCTGAGCTGAAGGCAGACACTAAACCAACTGGGCCACCCAGGCGCCCCTCATTGTCTTTATTTTAAACTTTAAAAATATGAGATAGAAAAATGCATGCAAGGAAACCCCACAAATGTATGCATAGTTTAACAATTTTGAGGGAATTATGGAACCACCACCCATGTCAAGAAGTGGAACATTGCCAATACTCAGTAGCACCCCTTCCAAATCATAACCTCCTTCCCAGAAGCCACTACCTTGACGTATGTGATAATCATTTGTTTCTCTTTGTTTCATCACCTATATTTCCATTCCTAAATAGTATAATTTTACTAGTTTTTTAACTTCATACATAGAATCATACTGTGTGCGTTCTGTTTTGGCTTCTTTTGCTTCGTTTGTGTGCTGCATCCATGAGGTTACCACGCTTATTTTCATTGCTAACAGTGTTTCATGATATATGTCACAATATATTTATTCGTCCTCTAGTTTACGGATACTTGTGTTGCTTATAGCTTCTGACTACCAAGAACAGTGCAGCGGAGAACATCGTTAGACATTTTCTGTTGTGTTTGTGAAGCTTCTGTAGGTAATGTGTCAGAGTGGAATTGCTTTGCTAGATAATGCCAGTTTTGTTTGTTTGTTTTGTTTTTTCCAAAGATTTTATTTATTTATTTATTTTTGACAGAGAGCACAAGTAGGCAGAGTGGCAGGCAGATGGAGAGGGAGAAGCAGGCTCTCCACTGAGCAGGGAGCCGGAAGTGGGTCTCGATCCCAAGACCCCAGGATCATGACCTGAGCCGAAGGCAGCCACTTAACAGACTGAGCCACCCAGGCACCCCAATAATGCCAGTTTTCTAAGTGATTGTACCCATTTACTTTCCTACCAGCAGTATGTCAGAGTTCCAGTTGCTTTACACCCTTGCAAATACTCAGTATTGTCCGTTTAAAATTTTTAAACTCTTCTCATGGGTCTATAATAATTTGTGGTTTTACTTTTCCTTGGTTACTACTAATGTTGAGCACTTTTTAATTAATTAATTGGATAGCCTCTTTCTGAATTGCCTATTCAAGTTTTTTGCTTGTTTTTCAGTTTTTCTTATTGATTTGTTGGAGTTCTTTTTTTTTTTTTTTTTTTAAGATTTTATTTATTTATTTGAGAGAGAGAGAATGAGAGACAGAGAGCACGAGAGGGAGGAGGGTCAGAGGGAGAAGCAGACTCCCCGCCGAGCAGGGAGCCCGATGCGGGACTCGATCCTGGGACTCCAGGATCATGATCTGAGCCGAAGGCAGTCGCTTAACCAACTGAGCCACCCAGGCGCCCTGGAGTTCTTTATATATTTTGGTTAGTAGTCCCTGGTTGGTTATATGTTTTAAGAATATCTTCTCCTACTCTGTGACTCTCTTTTCACCCTCCTAAATAGTGATATCTTAGAACCTATTCTGTAGATGCAGGGCCTGAAGTGGGGATTCTTGTTCAAGTGGTGTATTGGGAAACATGGTCAGGAAAAGGAGAATGAGGGAAGCAGGATGGGGGAGGAGGGGAAGACTGCTATAACCAGGTGAGGTGGCAGTTTTCCAGAGAAGGGACATTTGTGTGTTGTTATCAGCTGACACTCCTATCAGGAGGATGGGTGTACTGGCTAGTAGAGACCCTGGTTAGTTTACTAATAGTATTCTCTACACTCCATTGAGATACATTATTTTCTTTCTTTCTTTCTTTCTTTTTTTTTTTTTAAGATTTTATTTATTTATTTGACAGAGAGAGACACAGCGAGAGAGGGAACACAAGCAGGGGGAGTGGGAGAGGGAGAAGCAGGCTTCCCGCCGAGCAGGGAGTCCGATGCGGGGCTCAATCCCAGGACCCTGGGATCATGACCTGAGCTGAAGGCAGATGCCTAAAGACTGAGCCATCCAGGCGCCCCAAGATACCTTCTTTTCTTTTGTTAAGTTCACTTCACCCAGATACAGCTCCAGGATTCTGGTTGGTTACAATTTCTGGGAACATTTACAAGAGGAAGGTTAGTGGAGCATGCTATAATCCCTGCTTCCACAGTCAGTGCAAAAATATAAGTAATGCCCGTTACCTTCCTCATCTACCATGCATTCTAGTTTCCTCTCCTTTGTCCCTTGAATGCTTGGAGAATTCAGTGACGGAGCCATCTGGTTCTGGAAGTTTGTTGTCTTTTGTTGTGTTATTTTTGACCACAGATTCAGTGTTTTTAATCTAACATAATTTAAAATTTTTCTTCTTAGTTTTATTAAGTGATATTTTTCCAGGAATTGGTCCCCTTAAAGGTTTCAAATTTATTTATATAAAATTGTTTATATTTCCTTGTTATTTTAATGTCTGCAACATCCGTAGAGATGTGCCCCCTTTCGTCCCAGTTTCATTTTTACGTTTTCTCCCCTTTACTCTTCCTTAGCTTCAGTAGAGTTTCCTTTCAAAGAACCAACTTTTGTCTTCATTGATATTCTCCATAGTAAGTTGGTTTGCTGTTTCATTAAGTTCTGCTCTTATTTTTTTCATTCTACTTTCCTTGGAAATATTTTGGGGTGTTTTTTTCCCCAAACTTCTTGAGATTGATGCTTAGTTCATTCATTTGTACCCTTTTTTTTAAGATTTTAATTTATTTACTTGAGAGAGAGTGAGCGAGAGGGAAAGCATGAGCCGGGGGAATGGCAGAGGCAGATGGAGAAGCAGCCCACCCCACCCCCCACTGAGCAGGAAGCCCATTGTGGGGCTCCATCCCAATACCACGGGATCATGACCTGAGCTGAAGGCAGACGCTTAACTTCCTTTTGATTCTTTTCATTTAAGGCCACACATTTTCCTCTAAATATTGCTTAGTAGATACTCACAAGTTTTGATATGTGGTATTTTAGTCATTTACTACTAAATATTTTTTAATTTCCATTGTGATTTCCCCTTTGACTCATAGGTATCTTAGAAGTGTGTTTCTTGGGGCGCCTGGGTGGCTCAGTCGTTAAGCGTCTGCCTTCGGCTCAGGTCATGATCCCAGGGTCCTGGGATCGAGCCCAGCATCAGGCTTCTTGCTCAGCAGAGAGCCTGCTTTTTCCCTCTCCCTCGGCCTGCCTGCCTGCCTGCCGCTCCCCCTGCTTGTGCTCTCTCTCTCTGTGTCAAATAAATAAAATCTTAAAAAAAAAAAAAAGTGTTCTTAATTTTCAAACATATGAGTATTTTCTGGTTATCTTTTATTAATTGATTATGGTCCATGAGCTTGTTCTGTATAATTTTAATCCTTTGAAATTTGTTGAAATTTTTTTTAGAGTTCTGTTTATGGTCTGTTTTTATAAATATTACATGCGTGCTTGAAAGTAATGTGGCTTCTGCAGTTACTGGATTCAGTGTTGTGTATTCCATTAGGTCAGTTTTATTAATTCAAATCTTCTTTATCCCTTCTGGTTTATTTTTACCTATTCTAGCTATTAAAACGAGAAATGTGTTAAAATATCCAACTGTGATTATGAATTTGCTTATTTCACCTTTTAGGTTTTTGCATCTTTGAGCTGTATTATCAAGTGTGTACAAATATAAACTTATTATATCTTCCTGGTGAATTAACCTTTTATCATTATAAGGTTGCCCTTTTTATCTCTAGCTAAAGGAATGGTGGGTTTTTTGGTTGGTTGGTTGGCTTGGGGGTTGGGGGGAGACCTTAAACTCTCTTTTATCTGATACCAGTGTAGCTACACCATCTGTTTTTGGTTAGTCTATGCAAGGTATATCTTCTCCCATCCTTTTAGTTTCATTCTTTCTGTGCTGTGTGTTTTAGATATGTCTTTTATAAGTAGCATGTGGGTTTTGTTTTTTTATCACCTGTTTTTGTCTCTTAATTTGAAAATTTAGTCCATATTTATTTAATATGACCACTGATGTCCTGAGGGTTAAGTCTGTCTTAGTATTTTATGCTTTTAATGTATTTGTCCTGCTAGTACTCCATTTTGTTTGAGCTCTTCCCTCCTTTTGGTATATTTTTAGTCATTTGCTCTTTTTCCTTCTAGTTTGGACATTATACAGTTGCTCTTTTTAATGGTTACCCTTGAAATTTTAATTTAACCAAAGTTGATAAATTTGGGGAGGTGATAAATATCCCTACTCTTCTTTTGGACAGTACAGGGACCTTAGACCACTTGATCTCTTATTTATCCCATCCTGCTTAGTGGTAGACTAGTTGTAACACAGTGTGTCAGCTTTGATTAGAGTCGTTTAAGGACCCACAGACAGAACAAATGTGATGAGGGAGGAAAAAGATGAGAGAGCAAAGAATTTGAGAAGATGATATG